TGAATATTTTATTTTTGTAGAACTCGGCATGAGCTAACTAAACCATTGACTAAACATTACGTTTCATCAGAATAGTAAAATAGGAAAACTGTGACGTTTTCACGGGTCTTTCTGGTAAAGTGTTATTACACACGCGCGCACGTGCACACACACACACAGAGTATTTTGTCCCTCTATTGCTATCTCTGTCATATATATATATATATATATATATATATATATATATATTCTATCCACCGACTCTATCACAATTACAATTGAAAATAATTTATCTAAGCTTAATATAAAATCTGTTACAACTACTTCTAAAATGATATAAAATATGACTAATACAAAAGAATATAGTAAAAAGCTGCGACTTGAAGGTGATATTTATTCCATCACCGGTAATAATTGCTACGAAGAGTACATAGGAGAAACCTCAAGAGATTTTAGACACAAAATGAATATTTTTCATGCGCGTGCGTAGTCATAACAACATCAAGATAACTCAGTCCGATGAAACCGTAACGAATGAAACGCGTCACAAGTAACCTTTTTTCCATTTTGTCTTATAATTTCCTCAATATATATATATATATATATATATATATATATATATATATATATATATATATATATATATAATTATTATTATTTGATAATACGTATGGATAATTCCAAAGAGGATATAAATGCAAAGAGAGCTCATGGTAAGAACAAATTATATATATATATATATATATATATATATATATATATATATATATATATACGTAAAATTATTATTATTTGATAATACGTATGGAAAACTCCTAAGAGGATATAATTGCAAAGAGATCTCAATGGAAGAACACATTACATACATACATACACACACACACATATATATATATATATATATATATTCGAAGTCTGTTCGGGAAACTATAAAATCATATCAAACTATACAATACTTCATGAAGAGCCTACCATAGCCAGAATATCTTAAGTTTGTTTTGCACACCAATTCACTACGACATTGCTTTCACACTGGCTGCCCAGTTACTGTGGTCTTTTGTCAAAAAGTAAGGCAAATAATTATACATACACTCTTTTAGTAAGCACGTTATTATACACAGAGAATACATACAAATATATATATATATATGCAGTTGTGTGTGGATATTGCAAGTCGCTAATCAAGTTAGTTTTAATGGTGTTATGATAAAATATTTCTGTTTTTTTTTTACCCCTGCCAATATCTCATATCGTTTGCCACCAGCCCTATATGAATGAGTTGTATTTCCATCATCAACAGCATCTAGAAAATGATCTGATACAGTTCCAGAGGATTGCCATGTGTATCAATAACATTGTTAGTCAATAAATTTGATGTACCTTTAGGATTTCGTACATCACCAAGTAAGTTCTTACGCTCTGGCGCAATGCCTGTGTGCATGATTGTGTTCTGGTGGAAAAAGGCTGTACACTAAATCAAATTCTCTCTCTGAGCATCAAAAGCAGTAATTCGAAAGGAAGAGCAAGTCTACATCATCGGTTGCTAATGAGCCGCAGGTGTTACCTCAGGGTACTTCAGGGTACTTCTTCTTCTAGCTGAATAAACGAAGGCTAGGTGTTCCAAAAACGAGTCATTTTTGTTAATTCACCCCAAATAATGTAAAATTACTTATCGCAAATTCACCCCAAGAAATTATGAATTTTAAATCAGTGTTTTTTTTTTATTACATTTTTGGCACTCTTGAAATTATAAATTTTAAATCAAAATTTGTTTAGAACTAATATTAAGAATTAAAAAATTTCAAAAATCAAGGAGTTATTCCCCTATCGTAAGTGCGGATGATATTCGAGTTACACGGATTTTTTTACAATTTAAAAAAAAAAAAAATCTGTTTTTGGCTTGTTTACGGGTTGAGTATGAATGTAGACCCCACACTGCAACCTAGTCGCTCACAGGTCAGCTCAATCGGAGTGCAATAGAAGGACCTCGCTCTGGGAGAATTTGATGTGAATTTTAGTAAATATAAATTATTTTTATTTTGGGGTGAATTAACAGAAAAGTTCCCCCACAACTAATATGGGGCTGTGTGAGATGGTTGTTGACTCCTCAAGATGGTTCATCTGCCATTTAACACGTCATACACATATGGTGGCTGCCATCACGTAGACGGGGATGACTATCACAAACTTACGATATCAAACAATGCCAGTAAATTAAAATGTCCAAGCCGAGAAAGACAGGTCTTTGTACTGGGTGAATATCCTACTATCTAAGCCAGAACAGCATATACCCAAACAGAAGAACCAGTTAACATCATTGAATGCTGCCAAGCTGCAGGTATTACATCAGAATAATCCCTCTTCAAGATGGATTCGTTAACTAAGACGAAGAAGTCCAACACTTTTAGTTGGCTTAGCGCGTGCCTGGACACCCATCCAGGAATTTCTATCTTGCCGTGCATGTGTTAGATTGCCGGTGATAATATAACATTTGTTTATCCGCGTTGTTCTTTTTTAAAGG